ACTCCTAAACTAACACTAGAACTAAACTTTAGTATAGGAGATAAAGGATCTATATAGGTTATAGATTAGGGTCTTACTACCTAAGATAGTAGTAATCTAACTTACTTTAACGCCACAATAGGTAGCTCCTAGGAAAGACCTAGAGGGGAGAGTGCTATTAGTAGGTTACTCTATAAGAGCATAAAGATAGGTAAGAGCACCTTATCTAGCTCTTATAGGGGTAGTAAGTAGAGCTCCTACCTACCTGCTTTAGGACTAGATTCTGTATCTCCTGCAGATCCCTTACAAGCGGCACCTAGAGCTCCTAGAAGAAGTAGAAAACTACAAGTTAAAGGACTACTACTAACGCATATTAGTAAGTAAACTTAGGGACAGGACCCTAATAAACTACTAGGAGGCTCTATAAGTATAGGGATATATATAGTAATAGATCTATTAGATATAGATCTAATTAGAAATCCCTTATATAATCTTTTAGTATATCCTAAACTAAACGCTATAATCTACGCTATAATTATAGTAGTAATAGGAAGTAAATCTCCTAAAAACCTTAAAAGAAATACGCACTAGGACGCTCTATAAAAAGAGCTAAAATAATAGAAGGATCTCTATAACTACTAAATAGGATAGTAATTTAGAGATATAGTATATAAAGAAATTAATACTCTACTAAAAGCTAGTACCTAGGAGGAGATTAATAGGCTAACTAAGGGAGAGTATCTACTCCTACTTAAATAGGTGTTTACATATAAGCTTAATTAGGATAGTTACCTAATTAAGTATAAAGCAAGGATAGTAGTAAGAGGAGATCTATAGCTTACTAACTTAATTTATTTAACCTACATAGCTACCCTAGCAGCTTGAACCTTTAGGACTATAATAGCTATTAGAGCTAAGTTTAACCTTAAGATATATTAATATAACATTATTAGAGCTTTCCTTAACGCCTTAAGGGATTAACACCCTATAGTTATCTATAAGCTACCTAAAGGATATTAAATACCTAGGAAGTATATTAAGCTTAAACAAGCTCTATATAAACTAAAAGACTTACTATTATTATAGTATAATAAGCTCTTAACTATACTCTAAGAAAATAAGCTTATTACTTCTAAAGAGGAGCTATGCCTATTCTTTAATAGAGATTGCAGTATCTTGTTAATATTCTATGTAGATAATATCCTATTGCTCTATTACTAAAACTACGCAAGCTAAGCTTACAAAGTTATCTAAGCTCTAAAGCAAAGATATACTATAGAAGAAAAGGGACCTATAAGCTAGTTTCTAGGGGTAAGAGTAATCTAGGATAGAAAGAGATAGATAATAACGCTTATTTATAATAAATACATTAACAAGATTATAAAGAAATTTAATCTAGTAGAGACAGGAAAATTCCCTACTACACTACTATTAAGTAAAGATATTAAAAAGAGTATAGGAGAAGCTACTAAAAAAGAAATTAAGGACTATTAGGAGCGCTTTAGATTAATCCTTTATACCTTAATTATAGTGCGCCCTAATATTACCTATATAGCCTCCTAGCTCTCCTAATACCTTACTAACCTATCTAAACAACACTTTAATACAGTTAATTAAGTAATTATCTATCTATACTAAACTTAATACTAATTAATCTAATATAGGAATAGGGATCCTAATAAGCTTATAATATATAGTAATACATTATTTACTAATAATATTAATACTTAGCAATTATTATATAGATACCTAATTACGCTCTTTAGAGGACCTATTATTTAGAAGGTAGCTTAATAAGCAACTATTACTATATTAACTACTAAGGTAGAGCTCCTTACGCTTAAGTAAGTAAGTAAAGAAGTAATAGCGTTAAAACGCTTTTTAACTAAAATACACCTTACTTTAGATACTACCTAGATAATTAATTATAATAATTAATAAACTATTAGGTTAGTAGTAGGTAATAATAAAAGGTTTACTACTAAGCTGCGCTATATAGATATTTAAAACATATAGCTAAGATAAGAGTATATAAAGGGATCTTTCTATATTACCTACTTACCTACTAGTAATATACTAGCTAATAGGCTTACTAAAAACCTAACTATATAATAATTTATAAGGTTTAGGGAGTACCTAAAGTTATATAATAGTAGAGTATATATTATATAATATTAATTAAAGTAAGGTAGTATACAAGATCTATTAATATATAATATAAGAATAACTAACTATAGCCTACTTCTCTATTATTAACTAGGTAGCTTCCTTAAGGAGCTCTATTACGCGCAAGAAGCGTGCCTTAGAGTCTAAAGGGAGCTACCTAGGTTACCCTAACCTAGGATCTATAGGGGGAACCTTAAAGGAGCTAAAGTCCTTATCTTCTAATAAGGAGCTCTAGGTACCCTTAGCTATAGTATTAGCCTTGCGCGCAAGCTTAGTAGTAGTAGTAGTAGCTTTTACTAGCTCCTACTACTTAGCCTTACTCTCCTTAAGGAGCACTAAGACCCTACACTTCTTATCCTTAAGAAGGTCTTAGCTCTTACCTACCTACTTTCTTACTAGAAAGGATAGCGTAGAATATTAGGTAAGCTTAGGGCTATTAGTTTATTAGTATAGATCTTACTAAGTATTATAAAGGAAAAATTCTTATATAGATTATATATATTAGGATATAGCTATACCTAGAGGAGTACTACTAGTACTAAGTCTCCCTACTAGAAGAGTTATAGTACTTACTATTAGACTTATTAAAGAGCGTAGAGTATAGATAATTTAGATAAGTTTTAGTATAATAAATACTAGGCTCTCTATAATAGGAGGATCTTAGGGTCTCCTTAGGAGCTAGAGAGGGAGCAGGAGCAGGGATATAGGGTAGGGTCTAGGGAGGAGCAGAAGCTAGAGTTAGAGCTAGAGTAGTAGGAGCTAGAGTAGGAGTACTCTTTCTTAGCTTTATAATCTTAACTATAGTAGTAGTAGCTATATACTTAGCTACTATATACTCTATAATAGCCTTACGCTTAGTAGTAGTATACTTTTCTTTAGTAGTAGTAGCTTTAGTAATAGTAGCTTTAGTAGTATAGGAGGTAATAAGGGTAGTATAGGTAAAGTAAGTATAAGTAGTAGTTTTTAACTTTAACTAAGATATAGGTTAGTAGGGATATAAGTATAGTTTAGATCTTTAGGATTATATAATCTTATAATTTAAGCTATAGTAAAGATTATAATTAGGTAGATAGAGTTATATAGCTTAGTCTAGATAATATCTATATATATAAGCACAGGCTAAATAAGGAAGGCACGCTAGTTAGTATCTAAAGAGTAAGCTAATTTAACCCTTTAGATATATAACACTCTAATTAGCTATACTACCTACTAACTATAAGTATAACTATAATAATAAAAGATTTACCTATACCTAGGGGGTGTGTTATAGGAGGGATATTAACTAGATTATAGAGTATCTTAATCTAATTAATCCTAATTAATACCCCTATATAACCTACTATCTAATTAACTGCTAGCTTACTACTAAGTACCTAATAAAAAGCAGGAGCTTTAGTAAGGAAGGTTTACTAATTATTTACCTTCTAGTAAGGGTAGCTGAAGCTCTATATATATAAGTACGATTATAGTAGATACAATCTAATAATCCATCTCCTAAATTATTCCTGACCTTAGTGATCTAAATTTCCACAGTTGTCAGATAGAGCAGGGTTCTGGAAGGAAGACCGAAAAGATCACGTAATCACGAGCTGGCGCCCCCTCCATCAAAAAGGAGGTGACGGGCGCATCCAGAACATGACAACAGACATCACCAATAAAAAAATCAACACCACATAACGTTATATCATCAGTTCTATCCTCTACCCTTTGAGTATTAGATCTGACAATGGTATTAGTGGATATCAGGTATCACCATGGTGGATATCGCGGATCGGGACTAACTTGCTGTAATTCAGTATATTGGCTATATATCTATATTTTCACCTCGGAAACTTCAGTATCGCGCGCGATATCACTGGTATAGGGCTCTGCAATAACCTTATATAAAAGGCCCTTAGAGGACACCCAAGAGTCGTCTGAGTTAGTTAGCGATATACTGGTCGCGGGCCACCCAGCAGCATCCCCTGTAGTACTAATATACTAGCTGCAGGATGTTGACTGATTCAGGTAAGGTAAGGCTTATGACTGTCAGACCATGGCCTGCGCGCGCATGGGGAGGACTATGGGGTATGGTGTGCCCTGCGCCTATATATACTTTTCCATTCGTGCATAATGCATATTTATGGAATATATGCTCACCTTTTTGGGTTGTGGGCGCAGTGGGAATAGACACCGTGTCCTAACAATGACCAGGTCACTTTTCTTATTTGCGACCCGGACAAATAACATTTGCCGGGGTCGGTGTGGGCTGTGGGCGGGGGGGTTGTTGGGGGTTCAAGCCATGTGCGGGTGAATCAACACAACATGCAGGCAGATTGGCGTTGCATCTTTAATCATCCTGTCATTTCTTTTTTTCTTGGGAGTGGGGTACGGTACCTGTGCAAGCCGATGGGGTCAGCCACTATGTACACTATGTACACTGAAATGGTACGCGCCATCATCACTCGGAGGATATACATCATGTCTACCAGTACTATTCGTAGATGCCTGCATGGATCAAGTCAAGTACACCTGTTGTCTCTTGTGCGCCTCTCAGCCACGTTGACAATCAATTCTCCGAGCCCAGCCAATCATTCATTCTTGCCTTGGTGGCTTCGCTACTCAGCCACACATCCTTCTTGTACCACTACCCACTGTGCTACCTACCTGCTACCTGCTTGCTCGTGCATCATGCATGCAATATCCCATGGCACCTAGCATCATTACTAGAACATCCTCAAACACATGTAGCCCTCAGCCCTCGCCCATCTACTGTACAGTCCGCAGTAGTCCACAATCCCTCTGGCCAAACTACACCGAGCCTACACAACACCATGCTTTCCGAGAAAAGAACAGAATGCCCCCCTCCGCCTCCCTTACACACCCACTAACCGCTTTTCCTTCTTCTCCTTCTCCGCCTCTTTGAGCGCCGCCATCTCCTCCTTGGACATGTTGTATGTCGCCGACACCTGGTTGAAGGGGTTGTCAGGATGCTTTTCAAACTCCTTGCGGATCTGCTCAATCTTCTGGTTCCGCCGTAGACCCTTCTCATCCTTCATCTCGTCCAGTCTTCGCTCCTCATACGCCGCGTACGCAGCCTTGAATCGCCTCTCGGGGTGTCGGTCGAGCTTATCTTGCGCGTTGCCTGTAATGTCTAGAGCATCGAGCGCATTGTCGATACCGGAGGCGTTGAGGGCGCCAGGTTTCGCGTCGAAGCTACCGAGGGCCGAGTCGATGCCACGGGGCTTCTTTTCGGCCTTGGGTGCCTTGCTTTTGGGCTTCGAGGGGAGCGAGGCTTCTTCCTCCCGGAGGAGCGCTTCTTTCTCTGCCTTCTTGCGCGCAGCTTCAGCGGCTTTTTGTGCAGCGGCCTCGCTGGAGAGAGAGGGTTAGCAGACAATCATCGTGTCTGAGGAAATGGGATGCAACTCACGCCTTCGCATTCGACTTGGCGCCCTTGTTCCATTCCTCGGCCTCTGCCTTCTCGGCTTGCTGGTTCTTCACTGCCTGCTTCGCTGCAGCGGCATCGGCCTTGCGCGCCTGACCCTGTGCTTTCTTCGATCCTTCTCCGCCACCGGCCGCACCGCCCTTCTTCGCCATAGCCTTTTTTTTCTGGGTTGAGTGTTTGGCCGTTACTTCCAAGATGCAGTGTGAGCAGGTTCTTCCTCAAGATATAGTTAGGGACCAGAGGTATAAGTGGATCAAGAGGTTTAGGTAAGTAAGTCAAGGAGTAGCAAGAAAGTTGGGAGACACTGGGGACTGCGCGCGGAACGGGAAGCGGGGGCAGCTGCATCGTCATTTCTGACATCACGTGCCGATGACGGGCGCTACCTAGCTATAGTAGAGTAGGTACCCAGACACACTCGACTCTACTAGAGTAGTCCTGTGTTATACTGCCATTGAAAGCACGTGATATTAAACCCCGGCCAGAAATCAATATTCTTTCCTCTCAAAAGTCTCTTCAGTCAAAATCACCAATGCGGGCCAAATCCGAACGTGCAGTGCTTCACCATCGACACTTGTCACACAATACCATCTTGTTTGTTCCTTCTGGCATGCGCTCTCCTCTCCTGCAATGCATATCTCGGTACTAGCAGTTTCAGGCCCAGCCAAGGCGTGTTGACTGGACTGGGGCCTGTGAAGATGAAGACGTCGTAAAGGAAGGCACCAAAATTGCAGCCAAGGAACGGCGCCACCATGGGAATCCAGAAATAATATCCACCGGCCGACCAGACTTCGCTACCGTAGCCAACTGAGTAAGACATTAGACGAGGGCCAAAATCACGTGCAATGTTGATGGCATATCCAGTCTGCCAACCAAAGCACGACCCCAGGCCAAAGATTAAGAAGAAAAGGCATAGTGGAAACCATTTGTCACTCTACACATGAGTCAGCGTGGAGAAGGAATTCAAGCTGGAGACTCCCACCTTGGGAACACCATTGTTACTTGGATCCTTCAATGCAAAGATAACAAACATGAGTAAGGCACTGGCAATGAATTCGGAGAAGAATTGGCTGGATTTCGTCACGAAGGCTTGCGGATAAGTACAGAAGATACCCGCCGTTGCTTTCTCCGCCGGTGGTACGGTCCTCATCTTGCCGCCCTCGAACCAGTCGATGCCGGAAATGTAGTTGGCGTATACGATGCCTGATCCGACGAAGCCTCCGAGTAGCTGGGCAAGAAAGTACAAGGGGAAGCGCCGCCATGGGAGCTGGCGGAAGAGGCAGCTGCAAAACGTGACTGCAGGGTTGAGATAGGCTCCAGAGTCACCAGCAACGTAGACACCAAGCATGACGCCCAAACCCCAGCTTCGCCGTGTTAGCAAGGCTCAACTACTTACAACAGAGACTACTCACCCCCAATTGATGGACTGATACGATCCGAAACCCATACCTCCAGGCGCAGTTGTCTGTCCAGTCGACAACAATACCTGCGCAACCGATCCATCGCCAAACATGACCATGATCGCCACGCCCCAAAACTCTGCGAACGGCTCTCGTAGCACAGTCCTGATTCGAGACCATAACAATTCCGACCTTGGGCCTTGATCGTGCTCGTCGTCTATAGGAGCTTGAGGGTGTAAGCCTAGCGCTGATCGCTTAGACTTTGCACTCGATGATGTGCGATTGGGCGAGAGTTCGGATGAGTGGTCAGAGTACTGTGTATGAGCCTGTGTCAACGGTGTAATACTCGTCTGCGACACGACACTATTCAGCGGACCAGATGAATGGCCATCGGCCCAGTCACGGGATACTGATGGCCCCGGTGCGATAGGACCATTCGCAGTAGCCATGATCAGAGGACCTACGTTGGGGATGCACGCCTTCGTTCGAGGTGACCAAGGAAAAGCAAACTGAGCCTCAAACTAAGTGTCTCCTGTTGTATCAAAAATCCAACAGAAGCATGATGAGTCCTTCCAGCGGACACACAGCTGCTTAATGAGCAACCTCGATGCACCTCCTCGGTTGACAAGTCCAGACGACGTCACAGCATCATCCCGCCAGCAGCAAAGGCTGAAGCGATTGGAGCACAGACGAGATCCCCTCATCTGCGACTCCCCTCATTCCCATCTGGGGTAGCTATCCGTGCCGTTGCGCCTGAGGTATAGTGCTTTCGAGCGCCAAAATGACGTCCATCAAGCCTTGCAGCTGCGGGCGCGGCTTTGTCTTCGGGATGTGACGTATGGCACGGCTTCGGTGCGAGCGACTACCAGATCGTCCCATCTTTAAAGCGCGCCCAATTCAACTTGTCGATTGAAGCATTGCACAGCAATGGAGAGTGCATTTGATGTCGAACGTCCTGCCCCGTTTTATTTCCGCGATATGTACAAGTGTGGGGACGGGAATGTGGAGAAGGACGATCTGGAGTCTGGGGTACATGAACGGAACGGGTCTTGTGCGATCGGCGATGAGGGATCTTACTAGCGTTATTGGCAGACATCGGCCAAGTGTGACGTTCGACCTCCTTGGTCAACATCACACTTACATGGTTGCAAAGCTTCTTCGTCTATCTCCTTTGCAAATACTGCCGAGGTTAATTTTTGGAGATTTGCTTACTAGGTTTTCCTCTAGGCTCTACCTACGGTACTGTCAGACTCGCGAATCGGGATTGTTGTGTTGGCTCATGAGATGAAAGCTGCCATGATTCGCCCCAACTGATCATTTTTGAACACCGTTGTAAAGTGTCAAGGTGATTGATACTTGATCGTATAATATCTTCCTTCTTCTCATCACTACCGTCATCTCGTTTACATCTTCAATCATGCCGTCTTGTTATTGTCAAAAGTGCTCAAGACAGTCAGCACTTCAAACTATCCATATCCCCATCTTCTGGGTTCATGTTCTTTGATCTTCAAAACTACTATCATGTTGCTGTCATTCTTCGCCGTCTTGAGTCAATGTCTTGAATCTCTTTCCCGTAGATGCGATCATTCGTGCACAAGACTACAAAGGACTGGAAGGGAATTGAAACGCCCCCAGGACCTAGATTGGTCAAGTTCAGCATCATATTGTCTTTGCTATGTCTACAAACTCTACTGGTAAAGTAGACAGCGACATCTTTGGGCGTTTCTCAGTATTTTCATACGTTCAGCCCTCTGATCTCACCATTTCGATATCATCACGACACTCTCAGCGCATCGGCCTTTAAACATCTCAACGCCATATCACACACTCGCAGACACAACATCCTTCCACAACCTTCCACGAGCGTTTGCCCATGGCCTCACTGTCGTCATCTCCAACCCCCCGCAGCACGCGCTCGCACCATGCGCACCTTACAAACGCCCGCCTCGCGCCCACCCACCCAGCTCTACCAGTCCCCTTACACCCCGCACGCCTTTAATCCCTAGTATATAATGCCAATAAATCTATCGATCCTCTAAGTTATAGGAAAGGAGATGGTGGTAGAGTATGGTTGCTCTGGCTCGACGACGCAATAACCTCGCGGTTTACCGCTCTCCCATCTCCCGGTACGGGCCCGGGTGGCTAGCGGTGTTGGATCCCAGTTAATGGGTGACGGTGCCTGCAGAATAGCTTTCCCTAAGGTTGAGATCTACTTCGGTAGATCTCAGCTTTTTGCTGGTGGTGGTGGTTGGGGGCCTGAGTTCGAGTTTGGGTGTTGACGGTTTTGGGGTTAGTGTTTCGGGGTTCTTTTTTTGCAGGCGAGTTTTTTTTGTAGCTGGTCGTTTGTACAGTGCGGAGGCTTGGGTTTCTGCATAGATTTCTAGTCTAGTAGTATGTATTTTCCTGTGCATGTCTAGAGAAGAAGCACACTGCTTGAAGTTGTATATCTCTTCACGCATGTGGTTGCAAGTGCAAAGGCGAGCTACGTTGGCATACAGCAGTTTTATAACATACGCACACCAAGCTTTATCACTTTTCTCGAGCTTAACATCATTCCTATATCTCCTCGTTACTATTTTGCCCAGAACATTGTGCTTTTGTATATCTGAAAATCCCAGCCTTGTATATTAGACACTGCACCCCTGACATCTTAACACAGCAAGTAACAAGCAAACCCACATATAAACATCTACATCCTCAACTCCTCACCTGAACCCTCTCATCTCATTCCAACTATCATCCCGCCACACACATGCACAAACCCCCGACAGGACAACTCGCACACCGCCGCTTTTTACTCTCTCTGGGATCTTTTGCGCGTGATTTAAGTTGCTGGATGTTCTTGCACCTGCTATTTTGTCCTAGACATTATATGTATGTGCCAAATATCCCCACCACATTGAGGGAGGTACGGCGAGGGAAGTTGAGAGTAATGTGAAAATGTGTTCATTTCGTTTTTTGGACGCTTTGGAATGGGGGAGAGACGGGTGTTTTGTTGATATTGTTATGGTTTGCTGACTACATGGTTTCTGTAGTGAGTAGGGGATTGTGCTCATCATCGACTGCTGTGTTGGACATGGTGTAGTGCGGATTCTGAGTTTTACGGAATGAGCCTTGAATGTGCCGAAAAGCGTGCTGTAACAGATAATTCCATGTGACGACATATAAATCTCCATGGATTTTTGGTCACCTACGCTCCAAGGCCACTATACGTAATGATCTAGGTTTCCACACATATTCACGAGCAAGATTGAACGACGGAAACGATAAAGATGGACGAAGTAACAATTGGGTATCTCAACATGACATACGGAGAGACGAAGCCTCGCAGGAATTCTTACACAGACTCCAGCCAGCTTCCTACTAGCCAGACCCCCGCGCACCCCAACAGGGCCGCAGCTCCATACGCCTGCTTCGTCCAGTCCTGCACCTCATCGACCCGCACCGCACCCTCTGACCTAACATTCAGCATCGGTCTAGCTTTTTCAACAACATGCTCTGTCTGCGGCTTCACCCCCAGACTCTCGTTATGTCTGCTCTTCGCCTCGGCAATCATCTTCTCAATCGCTCTCAGATCCTCCATCCACTCCGTCTCATTCCTCTTGCTTGCCTCGACCTCCACATTCTGCACATTTCCAAAGAAATCCATGACTTTTCTGTTGCGCGCGGCGTGCTCTCCGCCTTCAAACAGGTCGTATCGTATGCCGGGGTGGCTGTGGATCTTCTCCTCGTCGTAGCTGTCGAAGAGATCGCCCATTGTGAGTTTTGAGGTTGGGTCGCGGACCTGGGTTTCGAGGAACTCGAGGTTGTAGTATGTGTAGCGGTCGATGACAGCGACGCCGACGTCGTTGTCTGCGTGGTGAGAGTAGGAGGATTGGTCGATTTCAGAAGAGCCGGTGGCGAGGATGTTGGGGGAGTAGAATTTAGAATACATGGTGTTTGCTTGGCAGGTGTCGATCATGAAGAGCATTTCGTGGTATCTTTTGTTGGCGTTAGTGGCGGTAAAGCTGTGAGCAGGGCTTCATGCGTAACGCACCTTTTCTTCTCCCACATCTGCCCAAATGCATCTGCTAGATCAAAGGCACTGATTTCCTCTGCATCTTGAAACTTGAGGAACTCATTTCCTCCGTGCCCAGTCATGTACACCAAGATGTTACTCCGCTCATCTGTCATCAACCTCTTAGACCGTGGCATGTCCTCGCCCACACGGTCCGTCATCAATCTAATAAAGTTCTCCACCGTCACCTCGTAACCCCGATAGTCGACCTCTATATTGTCGCCATACAGATCCAGCGCACGATCAGCATTGTTGTAGACGGTTCCCGGAAATGCATTGCGAGGGTTACACGCCATGTCATCTGGCAACATGAGGATAATTTGGGAATCCGGAATGCCCAGGCGCTTGACGGTACGGTAGAGAGAGAGCACATTGGCCAGATGTCGATAATTGAACCAGAACCGTGATGTAGAAACCAACACTGCCCAATTCGAGGTATGCTCGCTTGCGACCATGGGGGCGGCCAGCAAGGGCAGGAGGGCAGCTGAGAACTTCATCCTCGCGATCCGAAGAGCAGGAGCTGATCTGGAGCTGTGTGAGGGCGGCTAGGTCTTCATAGAGGGAGAAGATGGGGCGGATGCGCGTGGTGGCTGAGTCGCGCTTTGGGATGCACTCGTGTCGACGTCGTTCTCGTTGTTGATGGATCCCTGACAGATCGGAGATAAGCCGCTGATAACAGATCGGATCACGTGCTGCACCAGGATCCACTGACGTCCAATCTCATCCACTTCTGACCACATCACATGCACTTCCATCATGCATAGTCTCGAGCACGCCATAGGTGTCAATGTCGAGATCAATCTGAAGCCTGCCTAAAAGCTACACAGACCTCACAATCTTTCACACTGTCTGCGGCAACCCCCCTTCACACTTTTTCGAACATGGCACCGGATCGAGGATCCAGCTCTCTGGAGAATGAAAGAGCTCGATATCAGAATAGGACGGATGACGATACGCCTGGCCACAGTGATGCTGTAGCTCGTGACTACCTTGTCGACCCAGCTTCGCAACCGCAACACTTGACAGTGCGAGGTGTTTTGGTAGGCTTGGCAATCGGCGTGGTCATTTGTTTCTCCAACATGTACTTTGGTTTGCAAACCGGATGGGTGTCCAGCATGGCCATGCCTTCTGCTCTGATTGGATTCGCATACTTCAAGGTCGTTGCAAAGACGCTCAGGATTCCCTTTACGCCGGTGGAAAATGTCTTGGTGCAATCGGTTGCTGGGTCAGTCGGGACGATGCCTCTGGGCTGTGGCTTTGTCGGCGTCATTCCAGCTCTGAACTATCTGCTGAAGCCAGAAGAAAATGGACCGCTAGATATAAGCCTGTGGAGGCTCATCATTTGGTCGGTTGGAATTTGCTTCTTCGGTGTCGTTTTTGCTGTACCGCTTCGGAGAGAGATGATTATCCGGGAGAAGCTCAAATTTCCAAGTGGAACTGCAACTGCGCTTCTGATCAAGGTGCTTCATGGTGACGAGAAGTCATCGAGTCTAAAAGCGGCCGAGAGGACTCAGGCTGGGGATGAACAGGAGGGAGGTGAAGAATCACAGGGCTTGCTGCAACACGCAAGTTCTCAGCCGCAGGTGCACAGTCCGAGGCCATCGCTGGATGACCATGTACAAAGGCAGGAAGATGAGGAAGATTTGGGTTCAGATGGAGACTGGAAAGGAAAGATTCGACTACTTATCATCTCCTTTGGTGTCTCTGCACTCTACACCGTCCTGTCCTACTTCATCCCGCAACTCCACGACATCCCCATCTTCGGACTTCCGCTGGCGCAAACCTGGCTCTGGACTCTGAACCCTTCCCCAGCCTATGTCGGCCAAGGCATCATCATGGGCCCGGCAACAACACTGCACATGCTTCTTGGCGCTTTCATCGGCTGGGGCATCCTTTCGCCGCTCGCAAAGCACAAAGGTTGGGCCCCAGGACCCGTCTCGGACTGGACAAACGGGTCCAAAGGCTGGATTGTCTGGATATCCCTCGCCATCATGCTCGCCGACTCGCTCGTCAGTCTGGGCTGGCTCCTCTTGCGGCCCCTCGTCGCCCTCGGACGAGCCTACTACCCCAGCCTAACACGAACCTTCCGATCCCATACCTGGAAACAACTCTTCACCCTCGACCTCTCCACCCCTCCCCACTACACCGCCCTCGCCCCCATTTACTCCAACAACCCATCCAAATCCCAACCCCCCTCACCCGACGTCCCTGCCTCCCAACTCATCCCACCCCGCACTACCTTCATCTACCTCGTCCTCTCCCTCATCCTCTGCATAACCGGAATCCACTTCTCCTTCCCCTCACTCATCCCCCTACCCCTCACCCTCCTCTCCCTCGTCCTCGCCCTCCTCCTCTCCATCATGGGCGTCCGCGCCCTCGGCGAAACAGACCTCAACCCCGTCTCCGGCATCTCCAAACTCACCCAACTCCTCCTCGCCCTCGTCACCCCTTCGTCCCCAGACCCGGCCACCGGCCCTCCAAACAACGCATTCATCATCAACTTGTTCGCCGGCGCCGTCTCGGAATCAGCCGCCTTCCTGGCCGGCGACCTGATGCAGGATTTCAAATGCGGTCACCTTGTCGGTGCTTCCCCTGCCGCCCAGTTTTACGGCCAGATGATTGGCAGTGCTGTTGGTGCCGTTGTCTCTGCTCTCGTCTACAAGCTTTATACCCGTGTGTATACTATTCCTGGTGGCTTGTTCGAGGTCCCTACTGCCTATGTCTGGGTTTTTACAGCGAGGTTGGTGACGGGGCAGGGGTTGCCGCCTATGGCGGTGCAATGGGCGGGTGGTGCGGCGGTGGTGTTTGCGGTTGGGACGGCGGTGCGGGTGTGGGGGGGTGTGAGGAAGGCCCGGGGGAAGGGGGGCGGGTGGGTGGATTTTGTGCCTGGCGGGGTTGCTGTGGCGGTTGGTGAGTCTTCTTACCCTTTCATCCTTTCTTGACTTATTCTTCCATGTGACAGGGGCCCAAGTGCCTGGCCACACTCGATGAATAGTTGGCTGACTTGAAGTGATTTGCCAGGCATGTATAATACTCCTTCCTTCACGCTCGCCCGCACCATTGGCGGGCTACTTGGTCTGTGGTGGAGGCGGTGGAAGGGAAGGAGCGAGACGCCAATCATCGTGTTGGCGAGTGGTTTGATTCTAGGCGAGGGATTGTTTAGCATTTTCAACCTTTTGCTTGCAAGTCTAGAGGTTCCTCATCTTTGAACGGGGTAAAGAAGTCACGACACATCCACTCACTGGTAAGAATCAGAGTAGAGCAGAGCAGAGCAGAGCAATGTATTTACCTAGCTTTTAATAAACGCACATGATAGGTACTGCAATGCTTCATCATCATGCATTAGCAATGTAGGCGAGTCCTTGAAGCCAGACGGGACGGGTTATCATATTCCCCATAATACGCCAGTCCATGTCCCAATGCACCCTGTTCGCCCCGCCATGATCTGTGAGCCAAAACCACAAACGCCATGCGAATACAGAACATTACCCGTCTCCCAGATCTTCATTGAAAAATACCACCAGTCTTCCTGTCCGGCCATGGCTTCTGCATGTCCACGTGCTATACCTAGCCTTTGCTAGCCGTCAAATAGTGAAACATCGGTTCCACCCAGCGCCATCTCGTGAAAACCAGGAGGAATAGTCCAGCCATGGGTCCTGCAAGCACGCATGTATGCCTCGACTGCCTCGCCGACTCCATATGCCCGAGACCCAGTCGTGGCCAAGCGAGCGGGCTTGGGATCGCGCGATGATATGGCCATGCGAACTTGAAGGAGGACAGACTCGATGGACGAAACAGCACTCCAGCCATCATTGGTAAGAAGCTGCATGCACATGGCACCTCCAGAAGTAATATGACCGCCTCCACCCTGTAGGAAGCTGAGGAAGCGGGGACGGACGATGCGGACAAATGGCGGGCTCATGGGATAGTCCTTGCCGAAGCGCAGTTCCAAAACGATGCTCTTAATGCCCTTTTGCTTCATGTCCTGGGCCAATGGCAGTGTTGACTCAAAGGAATGTAGCTCCACGATCCACTGATACATGTTTTCAATCTTGTCTTCATCAATATGCCAGCCCAGTTCATGCAGAGGTTCCTTATTCTGCACTTGAATAAGTTCCTTGAAGTCCTTCATCAAACGTCTCGTAGCAGACATCGAGGCCCAGGACGGCATCGTCAGCATAGGCAGAGTGCTGTAGTCAAGAGATCCGGGAACATAGTCTGTAAGAGGCTGGCTTGGTGCCGAAAACTTCGAACCAAAGAGTTTATTGCCAAATGAAGCAAGGCTCAAGAGCTTTCCTTTGCCCTTGTCCCCAGCAACGGAATTTGGCGTAGGTAAGGAGTCCCCCAACCGCAGAGGCATACCATCCTCGGTGCTGAAGATGGCAAGGTCCTCCTCATCAGTGGCCTCACTTGCATATTCGTCCTCAATCTCAATTGGGTCATACCGAGTAATCCCAGAAGCTTTCTGTCGCTTGTGCTGCTGGGGAGGAGTCAGCCAAGACCCAATGTCGTTACCAAGGTTGAACTTGGCTCCATTACTTACTGAAGTCGCTATCGACTGTGGTCGGCGAGATGCTGCAATGGCGTGTATTGGTATAACCAGGGGCCCGTTGATACCTTTGGAAGTCCACAGTGGGTCTTGTTCGAGAACCTCGAGTGGCTGTGTGTCCTCCCGGCTAGGAGGAGCACCAGTGACCTCCACAGTAGTCTTGACAAACAAGTACCGCGTCTGGATCCAGTCGAGTTGTGCAACCACCAAATGGGGAGCATGGCTGACATACTCTGCAGGAGCGTTCACAATCTCATTCAGCGCCAAGGCTTGCTGGATCTGAAGTTCGCTCGATATCCAGGCACCCGAGATGCCCGATTGCGAGTATCCTAAACTGGTATTTACATTAGTGGAGTGATAGACGCCGTTTCCAAATGCTCGCCCGTGGCAAGTTTCTTTGAAGTGCAGTCCTTCACGGATGATTCCATGCCAGTTTCCCAGTGGGCTTCCGTGCCAAGCAAACAGTGTAGGATACTGGAGACGAAGCCTCGAAGTGGTCGATTGTACTGCCTGAACAAAGCGGCGTTCCTTGTCAGGCGCGCCCATGGCAAAGCGGAATTGTGTCCAGCCCCTCATGCCGAAGAGTCGATCTTGTGACTTCCGACTGCTAGTATCGTCTTCTTCCCGTTCGACCTGCACAATACACGCTCGGTTCGACGCAATAATCCATCGCAGGACGCCCAACGCAGCAGGAGGTAGCCGATCTACCCACGAACTCAGCGTTGACTGAGCGTTTCGCAGGAGATACTGTTTCATGTCGCGAACTGGGGGTAGCAAATCCAAAAGAGTAGCTATAGCCTGTCGCTTCCCATCGTCACTGAGACTATCAAAGTTCTCATTGTAAATGTAGAAGCTTGCAGGTAGAAAACCGTCTTTCGGAGGGAAAGCTATTGAGTTGGATACAAGCTGCGGCAGACCTAAGGCTGCAATGACATGCGGATCATACCTAACGTCTTGATCCGCTGGACGAGCGGCTTCTGAAACCCGCACCAAAGGATAGTAGCAAGTTTCGATGACACGAAGGTGTAAAAGCACAGCTGGTGAATCCGCTAAACGCAGAACGATCCACTGGCCCTTCCTTACAGGGTTTGGCTTGGTCTTGTCTGGAAAAAGTAGCTCGTGGCGTTTATCATAGTAAGTGACGTTTATAGGTATATCATTCCTTATGGGACTAGGCGCGGTAGCAGATTGCGTGGCTGGTTGTTTGTAGTGATGCCGTTGAGATTCGAATGGCGTGTAGTTGTAGTCAATAGCCACAGTCGGTGGCACCAACAAGCCAAGTCCGCTGGGAAAGTCCTTCAAGCGATCGTGTCGAGCACTTGCATAGCAAAAGCTAACGAGAAGATCAACCACCTTTGGCTGGGAAATAATCTCGTGTTCCAGGCTGGGCCCAAAACCCAAAGACATGTACTGGTACAGACAGAGAGGGTTGTCGCAAACATAGGGTTTAATCGCCTCGAGATCATCGGGCATCTTGCTGAAACAGATGAGGCAGAACTCGGTACAGCGGACAAAGTGTCGTAAAATGAATTGCATTGCGACCAGGGGTAGAGAATGTTGTGGACTAGAGGCCGATGTGATGTGGTCGTCGGTGACGATTTTGGGCCAAGCATTGCTGGTTTGCTCTTGCTTGTAATAAACATCCTTTGAAGCATCGTGGTGGAGGTGCGATGCAGTGTGTACCTGGGTGTTGTAGAAGAGTTCAGCTCCGTTCCAGGTCATACCACCATAGCGATACTTGACCAGCATATGGAATCGCTGCTCCAGTAGTTCATTCAGCGGCCGTGAGATGAACGAGTCGTGGAAGCCACTAGTGGGAGTGGCTCCTTGAGGATATTTTGATTGCCTCTTCTCCGACTCCTTCACTGCGTCTTTGCTCACCATGGAAAAGCACTGGATGGCTTCCTGCATCGTGGGCTTGTACCTGGTCGAGATGCCTATCCTCACCACAAGACTACGGCAAGCCTGGGCTGCAGGGTACGACTTGAGGTCGTCCATGTTCTTGTATCCATTAGGGTAGTGCATGATGGCAACGAGATATTTCGACGGCTCAAGCTGCCAAGCTTGCATGGCTTCTTCCGAGATGCCCAATTTGGAGAGGCGAATGGAAACGGTGACATGACAAGCCAGGCCATCCATGAGGCCGCCCATGCAGCCTACCCTGAAGCCTTCCTTCTTGGCTGTCTGAAAGTCGTCACGAATGCGCTGTCGAAAGGTGGTTGTGGCTTCGGTCGGCTGACCGCCTGTTGCGGAGGAAGGGTAGTTGGTCAGGGTTGGTCTGGGATCCAAATCTTCATCGCCGGGGAAGTATTCTTCGGCATCTTCGTCGCTGACGTCAAATTCTTCATACTGTTGCGAATTCAGCATCTGCTTGTCTCCATCCTCGTCGGTGGACTGCAGTCTGATGGACACGACTTCTAGAATCTCGGCGATGGTCTTGCCAGTGACCGCATCGGCGATCCCGTGAAGGGCGGCAGCAACGGTGGCAGGTGCATTGTCTGCACCAAAGACCATGCACTCGTGGCTTGAGGGATAGTCGGATAGTTCTGTGGCGGAGTCAGCTATCTGCAGCAACATGGATGGCTGATTGGGGTGAGAGTGTGCAGAAAACCACGGCTGATTGGGTGCCTGTTCAACATACCAGGAACAAGTACCGAGACGGTGAGCTGCTGGCCCTGGGCAAGACAGATGAAAGTGAATTCACCATCATCGCCGCCAGGTTGCACATTGGATATGCCTGCGATGGAGACGCCTTCCACTGCTTTGGCTAGGTCAGCCTGGAACTGTCGGCGCGGCATGATGGCAGGCTTTGGGGCGTCCGAGGCGAGTGCTTGACAGTGGAATGTTTACCACTGCGGGTTGTAGCGAGGCTGCAGGCGTGCGGCGGCTCAGTTTGCGGGCTTTGCAGCGTTATCAGAAGACGGGCAGGTACCAAAGCCAGACAGAGCGATTGTCAACAGGTCAAGACGAGCAGGCCACTGGTGTCAGGCTTTTGGAAGAGGGATTGTGCGAGAAAGCAAACGGCCGTCCCCTCAACAGAAGCTCCGAGGCATCGATGGGGGGCCAGAAATGAAGGTGGCAGGCAGCAAGCGAACAGGGCGAGAGGACACAAAGGGGATGGGAAAGTATAGATGGGACAGTAGTGGAGTAGAGTATGGCAGGCCGGTGGGAGGTTACCGGTAGCAGGTTTAGCTTGTGATTACTAGTAAGCTGGGCAGGAGTCAAGCTACCTGGAAACGATAGTGGAGAGAAAGAGAGAGAGAGAGAGAGAGAGAGAGAGAGAGAGACTGTGTGTGTGTGTGTATGTGTGCGTGGTGATGATGCTAAGGCCATTATTTCTGGGTGTCAACTCTCTTCTGCAGTGTTTGGTGCTACCATACCCGCGTAAGTGCAATTGGAGAGCTTGGGCCAAACAGCTGAACAGCCGCCCCTCCCCTCCCCCACTGTGCTGGGCGCCTGCTACGGAACCAAGTCATTGTGTGCTAGCCCATCATTGGCATATCTGCTGTGCAAGTTTGAACTCTGCAGTCGATGTTGATATTCTTTTCTTTGAGGAGTGTGGTGAAAGGTGAAAAGAGAGGGATAGAGAGAGAGAGAGAGAGAGAGAGAGAGAGAGAGAGAGAGAGAGAGAGAAGAGGGTTTGGAAGAGGGTCGAGGGATGACAATAGGTAGGGTACTCTAGCTGGGTACGGTAATCGACGGCGAGGGAAGCAGTTCGTTCCGTCATCGTGTGGCCGTGGCGCTTGTCCCCTGCTCGCCAGTGACCCCCGCCCACCTGCCTGACGGACCGGTTAGACAACAGGTATGCCGGTACTCTACATGAGCAGAGTACTCTAGAGTATGGGAGGAAGTTAGAGTAGAGTACGGTAGAAGCTGCGGGGCTGTGGGGACCAAGTCTGTTTCCATCCCACCCGTGGACCGTCCCGCGCGCTCGAGTTGGGGTGGTGTCCGCATATGCAAAATAGGTATAGTGTGGTAATGGTATGGTAATGTACGGTACTGTATGGTAATGTATGGTAATGCATGGTAATGCATGGTCTCGTAATCTTGTACTAACCAAGGTACGCCCGCACATCCTTGGCTACCTACCTACAGTAGCCATGTGCCTAGCTTACCTTTTACTCATCTCCTTCTTCGCCCACCTCGACCCAACCCTCCGCACTCGAACATGGTCCCAGCCCAGGTCGACTCAAACGCCGCTACTGCTTCCACACATGTCGCCGATCCCGCCCTCGCCCCCTTTCTCCACCCTCGCTTCGACCCCGCTGACTTCCTCAATGCCACCCTACCGGCCCTGTCGACGTCGTCGCGGCCTGCAAAGCCAGCCACAGCCTCCTTGGCTGAGCTCTCGACCCAGACGCAGGATCTGCTCTCACAGCTCAATGCGCACACCACAAGACTATCGGCCATCTTGACCCAGTTGACCGATGACATTGTGCGAAGCGGAGCACGGCTGGCATACGAGGTCGAAGTGCTGCGTGGGGAGACACTGGGGCTCACCGAGACTCTGACAGAAGGCGTAAAGGACGACATTCGCAAGTTCTTGCCACATGGCATTTCTCTGCAACCACTAGCACCACCACCAGATGACCACGGGCAGACTTCCAGCCCTGCCACAGACCAAGGCGCTGGGCCGGAGCAAGGGCAGCTAGCACCCCTACCAGAAGCAGACGAGACCACGCCAGAATACGTTTCGGACCTCCGTACCCTCACCACCGTGCGCTCACGGCTCGAGACGGTCATCAAGGTGTTTGGCGAAGCGATGCAATGGACGATACCTCCCTCCGAGCTCTCCTTGGGCGCCTCCCTCATCAGCGTGTCGGCTCCCGAACCTGGCACGGACAGTGCATCTCGGGAGCAAAAAGGAAAAGACTTTGCTGCCGCCTTACGGTCTGAGATGGCGGATCTCATCGCGGGCGACCCCGACAATGGGGTGGAAATGGCCAATACGCGCATCCAGGCACTGCGAGACTTGGCCAAGGTATGGAAGGGCACGGCAGAGGAGAAGGCCAGGATCAAGTTGGTAGATGGCCTCGTCAAGTTGGTAGAGGACAAACAAAAGGAGCTCGAAAGGGAGAGGGGCAAGGAGAGGAGTCGAGACAAGGCTCAACAGAGAGCTGGAAGCAGTGGTGGTGGCAATGTACAGAAGCCTGGCCAGCCGCAGCCACAGCCGCAGCCACCTCCACCGCAGAGAACTGGAGGTTTCCTTGAGAATCTGCAGAGAATACGCGGCTTTGTCGAGTCGGAATTCGAATAAAGTCGCTGTCTTGCCGTTGTTGGCACCACAAAGGATTACGAATGGCTGTGCGCGCCGTCACGTGATTGCGCGACGTGTTTACCCCTCCCTCGGCCCCTCCATGGACCCTGACATGTCCGAGATGACTGTGACGAACTCCAACCTCCGCCCCGACCGACAACCCCTCGCGGCCTTGTACAGCCTCAGCCTCGTCCTCGTCCTCTTACCCTCGCCCGTCACCCTCGACTTGGCCAAAAGGCCGACGAGACGATTCACGCCCTGCTCCAGCCAATCTGCCGCGGCTGAATGCTGCCAAGACCATTCTCGCCATTTCTCGCCCTTGCAGGTAAGCGCAGAAGACGGCCAACCGCACACAAAGTCTGGAATCCACTGCGTTTCCAGGCCCACCGGGGAATCGAATGATCTCTGACGTGCCGGTACTTGGGCGGTTAGGTGCTAGAACATCTTATCCGCCTTGCTTTCGGAATATCATACAATGTCAACTCTCATGTCGGTCCGACAGAGGCTACCGTACCCGAGCCTCGAACATCGCTCACAACCTCGCATTTTCTCAGCCCCATGACCCCGCTTTCATCTCCGTTATGACAACACACGCAGAATGTCCAGGCAAGGGGGGGATGAGTGTGCATGGGAGTGGCCTTGATACAAAGAAACACTATTTACAAGAATGCCGTGACGGCCGTGTGGAAATGCGAGATTTGTATCTGAATTGGGTAGTTGCCACGACCTAGCCTAGTACACGCTATTCATCCCGATCGTTGGTTGCACCCCACACCCTTCCCACGTGCATGCTAGAAGCTTACCTACCGCTACCTACTCTCCATACACGTATATAACCCAGTCCACCATGCTCTTCTCCCTCCTCATTCACCTCCACCCTCTGACCATGGCCCGCGAATCGCCCAAAACAACAACCACCCACCTCCCCCCCTTCACCCTCTCCTCCCCCCCAGGTACCGACATCTGGCGCAAACCCCCAACCCACAACGCCTTCAACGCCTCCATCCACCCATCCACCCCCAACCCAATCCCCCTCTCCACCTTTTCCCGCGCCAAAATCTCCTTCACCTTGCCGCCCGCCCCGCAGCTGCGCCAGTACGACCAGGCGGGCCTGCTGCTGCATCTTACCCAGCCGGGCTTGTCTGCAAATCAGACAAAGTGGATCAAAACCGGGATCGAATTTTATTACGGGAAGCCGTATGTGGCTACGGTTGGGTGTGATGCCTGGGCGGATTGGAGTCTAGTGCCCATGGGGGAGTTTGGTAGTTTTTCCACTACTCCGACTGCGAGTACGAGTACGACTATCCCCACGACCACACCAGACGATCAACCCGGTGCCACTGTTGAAATCCGCCGCGAACAAGACGAGCTGGGAAAGAGTCTCTGGATCTACTGGCTTGTGAGGGATGGCCAGGGCGCCGAGGTAGAGCGCCGCCCGTTGCGCGAGGTTACGTGGGTGTTGGATGGTGAGGAGGAGTGGGATGTGAGCGTGAGTGGGTATGTGTGTAGGCCGACCAAGGCTGGGGGGGAGGGCGAGTTGGAGGCGGTGTTTGCGGAGGGGTTGGAGGTGGAGGCTTCGGGGGTTGGGGGCAAAGAGTAAGAAAGGGGAGGATGGGTGTGTTGGAGAAATGGTGATTGATTCGGATGGACGAGGTGACAGTTGATTTGTAGGAAAAGTGGGAAGAATAATTGCACACGCTTATAAAACATTGCATGTCGTAGGATTTGGCACATAGCACCCCATCCACACCCTCAAACACCAACCATTTCCCCTCGTACCCAAACCAAACGAACAGCCCTCAACCCCCCCTAACAAACCCCCTAACCCTCGCCTCATCCAGCAACTCCCCCTCCACCAACCGCCCCCCCCCCCCCGAAGCGCTCCCATCCCCGCGGGTCATCCCGCGCCCA